TACAACCTATAGGGTTCCTAGGTTCTAGAATTAAAACCTCATAGCTGGATGGTCTGGCCTTCGAAGCCTGCAAAGTCGACAATCAATTCGTATCGCTCTCCCATGGAGAAGCCCAGGTGATCTGTCTCTATGGGATGGGAGAACAATCCTAGTCTTGGAGTCAGTAATTTTTCAATGTCATTGCGCAAACCACGTACCAGCATCGGAAGCAATGACTGTGAAAGGTATAGCCTCTCCTACTACATCGCTGTGCAATGAAAGATCAAAAGCTAAGTCATGGTCAGCAAACTGCTTGAGCTCCATCGCACACTCGGAACTTGCTTCGGCTGACTGCGCCATTCAACAAACGTAGACGGTACTTTCGAGGCTCAACTTCGAGAAACGGCCAGGGCTGACCGTTGCTATAAGGAATGTCAGAATGTATCGCTTCATCCACTTTTATTTTTCTTACACTTGTATAATGTCACCCCAAACTCCAGTATGGCCATTTGTATTATAAATCAATTCTCCATTATTACCGTATTGTTTCGAACAAATTGACAAAGCAATATCGTATTCGTCTTTAGGCAAGTCTAGCGCTTGTTCTTCATCATCACTTAGTAAGTAAAACCCATCAAGGCCCATATACACATTTTCGCCAGTCTCGAACTCGGTGTGATCCTAAGCATGTAAGCTTTTTTTACTGCATTGATACAGATAGACACTGACATGGTACCATATAGTTCGAGCATTCTGTGCGTTCGGATAGTAGTAATCTTTGTATTGGCCGGGAAAAGCGTAGTCGGCAGCCCAGCCATCAAAGGGTGCACGATTGTATTGGCCATGGACATGTACGGAAGAGTTGGTTGGACTGTTGTTTGTAAACCTCACCACTGCTTCTACGATTCGTTTCAGTATGAGTTGATAGTAGTATCCAATCCAACTTACCCCGCCCCTTGCGCATCATAAACGTAGGTCCAGGTTGTAGTCCATCATAAGCGTATAAATTAGCGACTCCAAGATTAGGGTATATTTGCTTCTGGATTGATCTTATTTCAATTTCATAATAATCAATAACAGCTCCCGTGGTAGGATTGGTGTAGGTACTAGAAGGTATTAGCACTTGCATATCTCCGCTCATGTCAGGCGTTGCACAATCTTGGCTCCTTCACGGGCAGTATCGGAAGAGGATGTTGAAAGATCCAAGTGTATTGTGGACTGATCCATCCACCTGTAGGCTCGACCCAGCTGTCGTTTGAGGTACTTGTAGATGTAGGGGAAATAGTGAATGTCGAAGATGTCGTGTTGTCGAAAGCAGCGGCGTGAACACTAATACTCAGGAACGAGAGTAGGCTAACGAGTGACAAGGTCTTTGAAGAACACATTATCAGATGCTTACCACAGTGCATGCGACTGCCAGATACTGGGGCACTCGAGATACTTCAACAAAGAGACATATCCTACCTGAGCCGCCGCATCAAGATGATTGAATTGGGATACCAAAGTCAGTGGATCCTAAGACATGGCTGTCGGGATACGAGAACGGACGCAGGGTTAATTTTGACCAACGACATCTGTCCGCGGATCAGGCATCGAGTGTTCCTATCATAATATGATCATCGGTAATCTCGGTTCGGCCAGCTTGCCGCCAGTGTTCATGCATGCGTGTTTCGGAAAAAGCATGTTGTTTTCGATGTAACAAGCGCAAAGGTGATGCAGATCAATCGCCGTGGAAGACCATCATGGATGACTTACCACGGTGAGGCCCGCATCAAGGTTCGTCATGTTGAACACCTTCACAGATTTACCCAATGATCAATACGGACAAGGCAAGCATCTACTATGCACTGCCGTACTTGAATGCATTCTGTGGGATGAAGACGCTGATGCATGTGATGCTCTTTACGCAAGATGATTGCCTGACCATCTGCAGGGACGCCACGCTAGTCACGGTACCGGTAACGTTAGCTGCGTATATATCCTCTCCTGGTCTGGCTTCCGATCTCTCTTCTCGTGGGCTCAACCCTCTCGCACACAATCTGCGAGACACAGAAACAGCTATCATCAATGGCTACCTTGGTTTCACATTGAGTCCTGCCGAGAGCCGTGGTGATCATTCCCGGCTACAACTTTGTTTGCACTTATTGCCCAACATCACAACTCCGGTTGAACATCAATAAGCTCCAGCTTCAATAGAAAATACAACAGTCCATACACACCGAATATGGCGGTGAAGTATGTGTTTGGTGATGTGGCCGCCTACTTCACCGTAAAGCCATCAGCTTTACCGTATCTACCGGTACCGGTACCGTACGAACTTCAAAAATATCCCTTTTGTCTTACATCGAGCTACCGAAATAGACCAACCGTAAATACGATCATGCTATCAAAATTTGTAATCCAAGTCCACGTACGCGGCTTCAATATCTTTCCCGGCGCCACGATTGTGAATGCTATCCTTTCCACGTTGCACTGCGTGTTTGTGGTTCACAGTTTCAGCAACTGGTTACACAGAAATTGGCAACACGTAGGTACCTACCGTACGTATGCTACCACAAAATTGTGCATGCTGTGACATGGGTATCACATTCAACGAGAGGCCGTGTCACGCAACTACATCCCCTAACAGCATGATCACTTACACGACTTCGTGGAACGCGATGGCAGACATTATAATATTAGTGAGTATCTTCCGGTATTACCCCTTTTCAGACCTATTTCCACTGCGGGCGTCCATAAAGGCTACTTGTTTGTGTTCGCTCAATCCGATCGGAAAAAGTAGATGTACGTTTTTCGGACAAGCACGAACCCATTATGTACGGCGGATTGCTCCTTCACATCCGGTGAAGCTGGAGCTTCGAAAATGCTGCATGCCACAGCTCCATCTATATTGCCTTATGGAGTTCGTCGACACCATACATCCTTTATCTGTGATGCATGTCTAGCTGGTGAATCTGTATAGAGGAGGCATATATTTTAGAGAAGTTGGGGTTTATCGTGTCCAAAACACTGAAATATTCGTACAATCTTCATGGTTTCGCTTTCAAACTACGAACTCCCCGCCAAAAAAATTAAACAGGGAATGCTTTAATTGACGAGCGAGAAAAATATTGCAAACAAATAAGTTCAAGGGAAAACTGTATCACCAATGCCTGTACGTGTGAGTTTTAATTTCTTAACATGCTGACGGTGTCGGCATGTCCAACCTGGCACCGGCCTTCCATTCACTCAATCGCGTCAACAGCATTCACAACCGCGAGAAGATACTATCAGCACCACAACATCATTCCTCTGGATAACTTCCCTCATAGTTTGTTTTGGCCAAATTCTAGCACCATAAAACCCAAGCACCAACATCTTCTACAGCACCAACAACACCAAGACATGCCTCGCAAAAGCCGCAGCAGTCGTCATCACGAACAAATCGTTCCCGGAAGCACCGACGAATACATAGCCATTATCCAACCAGCCGATGGTGACCCCGAAGTCATCAGTGGAGGACTCGAAGGCCTGCCTGGTTGGGGCCCTCGACGAGGTCCGCCCACACCCACATACGAAGAGGCAGGTTATGCGGGCCGTGAGTTTGGCTGGCGTGAAGCGTATCCTCAAGCCCATCGTGGGAAGTATGTTCCGTTTTCTTTCTACTCTTGTATATCTTGTCTCTTTTTGCTGATAACCGCGCAGCTACGAGCGCAGTTATATACATCACCAGGAAAGGGGTTTTGGCCATGGTCAGTGGTTTCGCGCTCGCGAAGGGTTCGAAGACGGTGAGGACGATGGCTGGGGGCATGGATATATGGGTGGATTTCAAGATGGCTACGCAAACTATGGATCACGTTATGGACCGCAGTATGACGATTACTACACTGGACTGCATGGGGTTGATGACTTTGGAGGTTATGGTGATTACCCCGGCGGACACTATGGTTACTTTGATGAACGTAGGGGTCATTATGGGCATGATGCTTACCCTGGGTATGGATTTAACAATCAGATGGATGATGATTATGGGTATAGTAACTATATGGATGGTGGATACGGGTACGATGATTACCTGGGAGGATATGATGGCTATAACAATTATTACGGCTATGGTAGACATTGCGGATATGGCTACTACTAGGGTGTCTTGGGAGTAGAATAATTGTATTGAACGAATAAGTCTGCACCAAATTGGCTTGAATGATCGAGATTACTTTTCTATTTTGGTAGTAGGAGATCCCCGACTTCAAATAGTATTTTCCCTCCTGTACCCTTGTGCTTAGACAAACTTGCGGAGGATCGGAAGAAGTCTTTCAACGAAATATTAGATAGCTAAAGTCACTAATGTTTTTATCGCAAACTTATGGGAAGAAGTCAGTTGAAATTGGAAGCAAGATAGATCATATACATGACTTCACTGACTACTCCTCAGTCTCTCATCACATTGACGCTACATATAACCACGATATCCATATCCATCGAAGCCTGGAGTTCCCCCGCCATATCCATAGTAGTCATTGAACCCATCATATCCGCCGTAATAATCATCGTACCCGGCGCCTCCACCAAAGTAATCACCGTATCCACCACCGCCACCGAAGTAGTCGTCATATCCACCACCAGCACCACCATAGTAGTCGCCATATCCTTCCGCTCCACTGCCGTATTCAGACTCATAGCCTCCACCTCCCATACCATAGTAGTCCTGATAACCTCCATAGCCAAAGTAGTCGTTCTGGCCGGCACCGTAGAAGTCGCCATGTCTTCCTCCGTAGGCACTGCTATAATAGCTCGAATCATCAGCATAATATCCACCACTGTAACCTCCTCTAGATTCCCCAAATCCTCCTAAACCACCACCATACTCCGCTCCCATGAGTCCCAGCCCACCCGCATATTGCTCTTGAAAATCCCGATACCCATCCTCCCTCCCCTCTGGCACCGCACCCCCATACCCTCTCCCATAAAACTCGTCATACGCCCGCGCCCCCCTGGGCCCATGATATGCCTCCCCAAACCCCCTCGGATACCCTTCCTCCAACCCCGTCCACGCACCCTCCCTCTCCCCATATTCCTCTCCCTCTCGATGTCCGTGCTGCCGGCCCTCCGCGAATCGTGGCCACGGGTTCGGCGGCATGGGTCCGGTGGGTGGGTCCTCGCCTGGGAGCCAGTATTGCGTTGTGCCTGAGCTGCCGTCGGCGTCCATCCAGTGGTCGGTGTAGACGCCGGTTTGGGGGTCTCGTTTTGCGCGGAAGGCGCCGCCTAGGATGTGGCCTGTGTCGTTGTCGCGGCGATCATGGGAGGATTTGTGGTGTTTGCCCATTCTGGGAGGGGTTGGATGTTGTTTGGAGTGGAATAGTCGTCTTTTTTTCTTGTCTCCAGAAGTGATGTAGTAGAAAATGGAGACTGATACGGGTGCTAGACTTTAAAGAAGAAGATTTTTGCTTTTGGGGTGGTTTTATATGTGTCTAAAGACGAGGAGAATGCGATTTTGACGCGTGAAGGCTTCTGTTGTTTTCAGAGTATGCGTCGTGAGCTGTCACATGAGTTTGTCAGATTATGTATGAGCTATGCGCGGAGTGCTGGGATATCTTTCGCCATTGACTAGCGGTCTGTTGTGAATCAAGGACGAGCTTTGCATCATATTGTATGATAATAAGGGACCACTACATATTGTGTCGTTGCCATGTAGATCCATTCGTGGGGCATCTGCTTCAAGAATGAGGCTGAGGTGGCAGAATTGCTGTAACGGGTGGCCCTAGTGAACATGATCCCATCATGAGCACACAGCCAGATCACAAGCAATGTGTTCGAGGCTCGTGCTGTTGGTCGCATTCTGTGCAGAATTATCATTGCGCTCTACCCAGTAAAAATGGTTCCTTGTCGTTGTTTAAGACATGACAATGGACTGTGAGAAAGAGTAAGTACAGCAGCGAGAGGAGATGAGAGGAACGATGCAAGCTGGTGCTCGGGAACGTAGACACCGCGAGACGGCGAAACGGCGAAATGAAGATGCTTCATATACCTACTGTATACACAGTAGAGTATGCATTGAAGCTTATGCGAACGCCCATGACAGATTTCTGACATGATGGTGAAGGTAGAGTAGTGTGTGATGGATAAAGACAGGTTGCATACTTGCATACCCTAGTAGCTAACGTCGCATGTTGTTATGTATTGTCAAGGAACAGGTATGTGAGTGAATAAACAGTCTATGCTTGGTATAGTTGCCGCACGTTTTCTTTGTCTATCAGTTGTTACCATGGTAAAGTTTGCAGCCTCATTCAAAGTTCATCATTAGGTTAGGTAAACCGCGGTAATCTCGAGGACCTACGGTAGTTTAGACAAAAGGAGAGACGCAGACTCAACACGTTAACAATCTCAACTCCTACGCGCTGCCCTCAGATAGGACGCGCGACACAGCTCTCGCTCGCAAGCTGTTGTCCTACGTGACGCCGAAGCGCGTACCTTTTCCTTGTCTCAGGGGGGGGGGGGGATGCTGTAGGTACCTAGTATCGTTCCTTAGTCTATAACATGTAACACCGCCCTGGCCAATGCGCGTCCAGCAATCCTCCTCGGCCCTCACTAACGACATGTCCCAATTGACCCCGTTGTTTCATCGTTGCAAATCTGATCCACTTGCGACGAGCAATGCACCTTCATGGCTGTAAGAGGGAGGCGCTGGATACTCGGACACTCGTGCCCGCTGCTCCATTGCAGTGCATACGGATGCCTTGGGCGTCTTCGGGGATGAAGATGGCCGAGGGTAGGGTAGGTAGGCCGGGGAGCTGGGCCCTTGGGGTCAAGGTTACGATGATACCACTCGTTACCTCTTCTCACGATGAATGTGGCATGACCGACTGAACATCATCCATTTTCGTTACCTCCCTTTTCTCCCGTCTACTACTATAGAGTTCGACTCTTTCCTTTTGGTCGACGCTGCGCGTTTGTTTTGGTTTTCTAGCTCTTTTTCTCTCTTTTGTTTCAAGGTTGTCCACCACACCCTACTACACACCCACTCCTTGCAGGCCCGGCGCCCGTTCTTCAATATCGTTTCCTCGTTTGCCTGTCTCAGTATCTAGAAGCTCAAAATTCCTTGCAGCAGTTTTTCCCTGGGTAGTACCTGTGACTATTCTCTCAGCGCAATTGGCTCAGTTGCACTCGCAACTCAATCGCCACCAGGCTTTGCCTTCAGAGCGCATTGCCGGAAAGTGAGCTGCTCATCCTTCGCCCTGGATTTTTAGACAAAAGCATTGGAGGGATAGAGAATCTCTGGTGTCCCCAGCAACGCACAGTTTCCTCGGATCATTACAATAAGATCTGCAGTGTGCAATCGGCAACCCAGCAACAGGTACATTGCGGAACTTCACGAACCGCAACAGTTCACGTCTCAAGACGTCACCCCATTGATTCAAACACGACTCGTCTCACTACATCACCATCCGTTTGCCAATCACATTTTCACTTTGTGAACGGCAACCCAGCCTAACGTCACCGTCTCCCTCAGCACTCTGTGGTTTTTACCACAACACGCATACCACGTAAACCACATTCCAGGGAAATCTCGCAATGGGATTCTCAACACTGCGCATCGCTATTCTCGGCCTTACTCTACTCGTGAGCACCACTTCGGCTACCATCAGTCTTTCGAACTTCACACCACGGATCGACAATCTTCCCGCGCAATGCGCAACTGTATACACTACCAACATCGAAGGCTGCGTTGCTGGTGACTTTTCTTCCACAGACGGATCCACGCCCATCTGTAGTGAAGCATGCCTTCAAGGTCTCGCCAAGATTCAGAATGCTGTGTCTCAGAGCTGTGCGGGTGTTGATGTCGGCGAGACTTCCATCATTGGCGTTTTCCAGAACGGCCTTGGGTTGAGGGCGCTGTGCCCGGCTGGCACAGTCACATCGCAAAGTTCAAGTACAACTAAGACTACCACTACAAAAGTGTCTGTCCCCCCTCGGAGCAGCGCAGGTGCGACGACAACCACGTCATCAGCCGAGTCGGTACGGCCAAGTGGAGTTGCGTCCGCATCATCGCCACCGGGGACAGAGGATGCGCAATCATCAAGTCTTTCAGGCTCGAGGCCATCGCTGGACACGTTCACGACATCGGCGCAAGCAACAAACGTAGCGCCGTCTTCGACAGCACGCGCGAGCACGACCCGGGCTCCCAGCAACCAGCTCTCCAACACAGGATCTGGCGGCGGATCACCTTTCGATGTTGTCGCGGTTGCCTCGTCCTCACAATTAAAGATGTTGAACATGACTGTGGCATCACTCATTGCGACAGCAGTCTTGTTCTTTGCATGTGCTTGAGTCTTATCAGCAACCCCCAAAGTTTCCTTGTGTTTACGCATTGCCAGGATGGCTACGACGGCGTTTGGGATGTTATATTTGTACTATATACCCGCACTGGACTGAGCCTCGAGGTTAGCCAGTTGAGCAAGATGTGGTGGAAATCGTGGTGGCAGAGATACCCCTATGATCAGAAGGATACTGGGAATGATGGCAGTCCACTTGTATCAAAATCAAGTGGTGTAGACATGCATGGAATGGATTGGAAAAGATAGAAATGCTCCGAATAGTAAAGACGCTTTGCACCTCATGACGATGTGCAGTTGTATATACAGTTGAGGCCCATTGGGGCCATGGTGTCTCCATTCCAGCCCCACGACTAGTCGACGTTAGACCCTTGTCACGAGAGCAACTAGCGAGTGCAACTGCACCCCAGACGTAATCGCCCGCTTCTCGCCCTCAGCTGCTTTCTCTCGACTTCTCACACGCTCTTCAATAACTTGGCCTCGTTATGGAGAAACGTAGTCGCAAGTGGCCACCATGAGGAAAACACTATTGCTGTGTTTTATACACGGTTTCAAGGTGAGTTGTTCTACTACAAGTCTGGAGGCGGCTGCGTCATCGCGAGGTTGAGGGGCTCATCCACCAGACCATTCGATCCCATGCGCAACTGCAAGACAAGCATGGCTCGTGGTAGAAGACAGTACTGATACGAATGGCTACACCAGGGTGGCGATGATACTTTCGGCAACTTCCCCTCGCACCTCAAAGCCCTCCTCCAACATGCACTTCCCAAGGTCTCCATCCTCACCATCACCTACCCCAAATTCGAGACTCGAGGCGACCTTACAGAATGCGTCGCGCGCTTCCGTGAATGGCTTGAGAACAAGGTGATAGATCTCGAAGTGGCCAACTCGACACCATCACCTACCGTTGACCCCTCCGTGCGTACAATCCTCGTAGGCCACTCCATGGGCGGCATCGTCGCAGCAGAGGCCCTTCTCTCCATTGTTTCAGATCAACCCATTCACTCACAGTCGAACTCGCAAAATGGCTCCCCAGGCTCTCTTCGCGACCACTCCACCCTCATGTTCCCCTACATCCAAGCCATCCTCGCCTTTGATACGCCCTACCTGGGCATCGCCCCAGGCGTCGTGGCCCATGGCGCAGAAAAGCACTGGAACACGGCCAGCTCGGCCTACTCGGCCTACTCCTCCCTCGCTGAGGCCTTCGGATGGGGCGCAAAAGACACTACCCCTAGCGCCGTAGATGCAAGTCGCATGCTTCCTGCGGCCAGCGATCCCACCGCCGACGCTGCGTCCGCGCCCTTATGGCAGAGATATGGGCGGGTAGCCATGTTCGCCGGCGCAGCGGGCGCAATCGCTGCTGGTGGTGCGGCCGCATACATGAAAAAGGACCAAATCACACAGGGTGTTACGTGGGCGACTTCACACCTCGAGTTCGTCGGCGTACTCGCTCGCCCCGAGGAATTGCGGAAACGCCTCGAGCGCGTCATCAAACTTACTGCATCACAAGATCTGGGCTTCACAAACATGTACACGACGTTGGGACATGCCGTGGACCGCGAAAACAAAGAATCAGGGTGGACTGGAAAGGTCGCGGGTAAAGATCGCACGTTTTGCAACCTTCCAAAGGGCGAAATCAAGAACTACTTCACGCCCGCAGTTAACGATAAAAGTACTGCGGAGACCTGGGCGCATATGAACATGTTCGAGGGAAAGAATAACCCAGGCTACTATACGTTGAGTGAGACGGCCAAGGAGAAGATTATAGAGTGGGTCGAGGATACTGAATGGTATGGAAGCAGTGAGGGCCCCTTGCAGGGGCAAGTTGGTGAAGAGGCGGAGATAGTGGAGCGGCAAGAGGTGGATGAGGAGATGCAGAGGGAGGCTAATGCCAGGGGTTCCAAGGAAATTAGACGAGACGGCGAGGAGGAAGGATTTGTAGATTTGAAGAGGCCAAGTTGTGAGATGTGGGAGCGAGAGAAGAGAGGAGGGAAGAAGAGGGCATTGTGATGTGTGGAAGCGCTGGGCTGGATATAGGAAACTAGGGCACACACCGTTTTAACACACCGTTTGGAGGCGCATAACGACAATATGGCGAACTACTCGCTCTCTAAACTGGCCGATATATAAATCCTAGCACGTCAAGAACTCTTGCGGGGAAAGAGAAGATGCCCGCAGTGCATCCGTCTGAACTTGACGCTTTATTGGTCATTATGTGCAAACATTGTTCGAAATCCGTAAATTGCGTGCTCGTATATTTCCTGTGCTGTGTCCTTGTAAGCATCTACTTTTGCAAGCATGTAAAGGTGATGTTGTCCGAAGATGAATGATGAAGAAGACGGAGAAGGTCGCGTCCTGGCCAGGTTCGCAACGCGTCATACCTAGTCTAGCGCCAAATTGACCTCGCAGCAGTTTGGCTTTACAATCTTCCTACCACGACCATTTGCGCCACCGTCCCTGTTAGACAGTATAGGCGCAATATAGGGCAAACATGGGTCGGAATACAGATAAGCTCTACATTACACACTCGGAGTGGTCATCGGCGGACGCCTTCGGTACTGCGCGCGGCGCAAACAGCGCAAACCGGAATTCCAACACAGGCCTCTCGTCAACCTTCAAGCGGCTTCCTTTCAATTACTGCGCCGTCTCCCTCCAGCCCTTTACCGACCCCGTATGCACGTCTTCAGGAACCATCTTCGACCTCACCCAGATTCTCACCTGGCTGTCCAAACACCCCGACACGAATCCCGTCGATGGAACCCCGTTGAAGCGGGCCGATCTGATCACCTTGAACTTCACCAAGAACGAGGATGGCGAATATGTGGACCCGGTCACATACAAGGTATTCACAGACAATACACACATTGTTGCGCTGCGAAAGAGCGGGAACGTGTTCGCGTGGGACACGGTGGAGAGACTGAACATCAAGGCGAAGAATTGGAGGGATCTGGTCAGCGATGACGAGTTTACCAGGAAAGATATCATCACGCTTCAGGATCCGCAGAACATCGAATCGAGAGACTTTGGCTCCTACAAGCATGTCAAGGAGGGAGACACGGTCATGCCAGGCGCAGAGAGCGGTGTAAACAAGGAGGCGCTGGGCAACGCAGCAAAGATCCTCAAGGCAAAAGAAGCCGTCGCAAAAGCACGAGCGGAGCGACAAGCAAAGGCGCAAGGCTCAACCGCATCAAAGGCCCTCACCACGGCCCCCAAGAATGGTGCACCGGCAGCGACAGGCACCGAGGTCAAGAAACCAGCCTACAACGCCGCCGTATACACCTCGGGCAAAGCAGCTGCATCTTTCACCTCCACAGGCGTAACCCCGCATACATCCGGCGAACGTGCCCTCCTCTCCGACGAAGACTACATGCTGCGCCCCAAACGCATAAAACACAAAGGCTATGCCCGCATCTCCACCTCCCTCGGCGACCTCAACATCGAACTCCTCCCCGAATACGCCCCCCGCGCCGTCTGGAATTTCGTGAAGCTCGCCCAAAAGGGATACTACAAAAATACAATTTTTCACCGCAACATCAAGGGCTTTATGATCCAGGGCGGCGACCCGACGGGCACAGGGCGCGGCGGCCAGAGCATCTGGGGCAAGCCGTTTAACGACGAATTCGAAGGGCCCGAACGCCACAAGACACGTGGTATACTGAGCATGGCGAACAAAGGCAAGAATACAAACACTAGTCAATTCTTCATCTCCTACCGTGCATTGCCGCATTTAGACCGCAAACACACGATTTTCGCGCGCGTGGTCGGTGGCCTGGATACCACGCTTACCACTATGGAGGCCGCTCCCGTCGGCGAAAAGGACAGGCCGGTGGATGATATCGTGCTGCAGGATGTCGTCGTTTTTGTCGATCCGTTTGAAGAGTGGCAGAAGGAGCGCAAGGAGAAGGAGAGTCTGGAGACGGAGGCAGAGGAGATTAAAAGGCAAGGTGGGACGGCGGACGATAAGACCACGTGGACTGGCAAGCGCATCAGGCCGGACGGCACGGTGGAGAATGGGAGCAGTGATGGATTGGGCGTGGGCAGGTATTTAATAGCTGCAAAGCAGGAGGTTGTGGGAGGGGATGAGGTGCTGGGGTATGTGGATGAGGAGGAGGATGTTGCACCAGTTAAGAAGAAGGCAAAGGCCGGTGGGTTTGGGAATTTCGAGGCGTGGTGATGTGGTGGTGCAGTGCTGTTCTTTTTTAGGGGGGGATAAAGTAAAAGTACAATCAGCTTCGTGAATGATACCCCGAGCCTGGCGAGCTTGTTGTGTTTCCAACCCCCCCCTACTATTCTAATCTTTATGATGCACTGCGCTTGTATTCATTTCGCGTAGACCGCCACGTCACGTTGAGGATCGGAAAGCAGAGAATTTGAATTTTGCCGAATTGGAAGTTGCCGAAGTTGGCCTGGAGCTAGGTGTTGCAAAGACGATTGTTGGCTACATGAACGAGTCCCCGTATATTGGTTCTCTTACCAGGAAGAATTGCTGAAACTATAGGAAAAAGGGGACAAGGGACAGGACCTTTCAACGTGAGATTACAAATACATTGGATCTTTGTACATCATTCCAGTAATGCCAGGCATTAGCCCCGTCAGTGCAAGAAATCCACGCCCATCTCCCCGGTCAAACCCCCAGCGTCAACGCCCCAGAAGAAGGGCTAGCAATACATCTTGCAACGAGCCATCGCTGAATTTCAATGGTTTTGATACAGAAACAAAGGATCATGTAGCTCTTTGTATGAAAGCTGTATAAAGCCATATTAGCATTACTTTCTGTATGCCAAAATGGTAGATACTTTGGTGTGGCTTGGTAATGTATTTGCTTAGGTTGCGAAAACAAAGTTTAGGCTGTACCGGTATACTATCCCTGTGATATCAGATGCGGAGAAATCAACGGGGCAAAATTCCCCAAGCCAATAAACAACCCTGTTGTCCTAGATGTATTGACTTGCAGGCTTCGTAGACCAGGCTTGAAAGTGCTGCGAGGCATGTAAGTCACTGACTTGGACGGTACACTGCCATTTTGCTGAAGCATTGCACAAAGAGTGGCCATGATTTCAGAGGTTGTCGATAACCAGAAGATGCCACTACTCGCTCTTGTGAATTCGTTGATCGATTGACGTGTAGCTGTTTTGGATCAAGGCACAAGAAGCGTTTCTGTGTGATGGCTGTTGAGTGATGCAGTAGGGTAGAGCATGACAAGTGGCCATGCCTCCCATGGGAATGCATGAGACTGCAATCTGAAAAGTCCATAGTGTCTTACGGCAAATGCCGTAGAAGTGGAGATACTGGGATTCATGGATATTCTATCAATATGGATGTGAGGGGCAGTGCAAACAAGTGTGTGCCAGAGTGTTGGGTACCGTTGAGAACGGACTTGTTCGCAGTGCAGTCAGTCTCTTTCACATGAAACTCGTTCGACGGTCCCCCCGACCATGTGTGTTGCTACCGAGGCAGATTACTCGCTCGTAGATTGGTCAAGATGACAACCTTACTCGAAAGTAGCTGCAATGTGATGTTCCGATAAGTTGGGGAAACGCCAGCACGCGGGTTGCAAGGTTGGATCTTCGATTACCCCGCGTTTTCTTAAGGCCGGACACTAACTCGACTAGTTGCCGTAGCGGCGGGGTTGCCCCTGATTGGCAAGAAACCCGTTTCTTGGATGGCTTCGGTACATGATGATGCGAGGGCATACACTCTACAGTATGAGTCGTGGCTGTCAGCTCCCTACAGTATTTCTCACGTGGGGTAGAAGAGTCTGCAAGAGAAGATTCCGGGGCTGGGGATGGCGCACTGTCTTCCGCTGCTGCCGATGAGAATGGTAACTTTGCAATGCTCGTTTCCGCGACAAGCACTATCATATCTACCGTATAATGCTCGCCAAATACGGTATTGATTGTTACTCTGTTAGAGCACGAAAAGACAGAACACTATGAGCATTCGAGAACGTTGCCACAATGAGCTCAGGTCTCAGTCTCACATTCTCCAAGATGTGTGCCACGGCCTCTGATGATTCGTCCGGTAGGAACGTCGACTATCAGAGGTCCCGTAGAGTTTGTAACGTCAGGCACCATTCGCCCTGGGAAGCCCCAACTTAGGCTAGTTCCATCTTCATCATACTTCCTTCAGTCCCTGGCCCTAGTTATGTTAAAGCCGAGGCCGTGGTCCTATAGGTCGATCGCTGGGTGTTCACTAAGCAATATGGAAAACGGAGAACTAAGAAAAGCTTGGCCACCTCAAAGGGGATCTGATCAACACAAGAGTGGAAACAAGCTACGATAACCTGGATAATGTATGCGACCACGGCGAATATCGCAGATTGGACTGCAAACCTTCAATGCTTTGCCCGGGCACCTGTTGGCGCTTGCTCGGACAGTGAACAGAAGTTTGCGGGGGAAGAACGACTTTCTAGCTTGTGATTACCATGCGAATCCAAGCATAAGTACCTCAGCTTGCACAGTATCGATCAAGCAGCTGAAGGGTTTTCAACCTCAGTCCACTATCCCCAACAAGAGCCAGATTCCTCAGGTTCACCATGCAGTTCCTGTCGGCCTTCTCACTATTCTCCATGGCTCTTGCAGCCCCAGCACCACTGGTTCCCCGGGCCAATCCCACGGTAGTCGCGCCCGCAGCACAAGCTACCATCGCTGGTGTCAGTGGTGACCGTGTCGAGTCGTTCAAGGCCATTCCATTTGCTCAACCTCCCGTGGGTCAACTCCGTCTCAAGCCGCCACAGCCCATCACAGCTGCTCTTGGAAACGTCGACGGCACCAAGGACGCTCGAGCATGTCCTCAATTCTTCTTCAGCGTAGCGGACAGCAACATCCCGGGAAATGTGTTGGGAACGCTTCTGAATACACCCATCTTCCAGGCCGCCACCAATGCTGGAGAAGATTGTCTTACTATCAATGTACAGAGACCGACTGGTACCAAGGCAGGAGACAAGTTACCGGTACTCTTCTGGATCTATGGAGGAGCCTTTGAATTGGGATCAACGTCAATGTACGACGGCAGTAGCCTGGTGACTGAGTCCGTCGCCCAAGGCAAACCCATTATTTTCGTGGCCGTCAACTACCGGGTTGGAGGCTTTGGATTCATGCCCGGAAAAGAGATCCTTGCTGATGGATCGGCCAACCTAGGCCTTCTTGATCAGCGCTTAGGGCTAGAATGGGTTGCGGACAATATCGCAGCTTTTGGAGGAGATCCCGACAAGGTCACCATTTGGGGCGAGAGTGCAGGTGCTATCTCAGTCATGGATCAGATGATGTTGTATGACGGAGACAACAACTACAAAGGAAAGCCCCTCTTCCGTGCTGGCATAATGAACAGTGGATCTATCGTGCCAGCAGATCCAGTGGATTGCCCCAAGGGCCAAGCCATCTACGATACCGTAAGTCGATCAACGAAGAATAAGACATTATCGAGACTAACGAAACTCAAGGTTGTAAAAGAAGCCGGTTGCGCAGGTTCCTCCGACACACTCTCCTGCCTGCGTGAAGTTCCATACACCAAGTTTCTCTCAGCGGCAAACTCGGTTCCAGGGGTCCTCTCCTATTTCACAGTCAATCTGTCTTACTTGCCCCGACCCGACGGCAAAACGCTAACCGCTTCACCCGATACGCTTGTAGTGGCAGGCAAATACGCAAAAGTACCATTTATTGTGGGCGATCAAGAGGACGAGGGCACGCTCTTCGGTCTCTTCACCGCAAATCTCACTACGAAGGCCGAACTCACCACCTATCTTTCCGAGATATTTTTCAACAGCGCGTCGCCAAGCGACATTGCTCGACTAGTAGACTCGTACCAAAACACCTTGGAGGACGGATCGCCCTTCCGTACAGGCTTATTGAACAACTTGTTCCCACAGTTCAAGCGATTCTCCGCTATAATAGGGGATCTGACATTTACACTTAGCCGACGACTCTTCCTTGAGACGGCTGCACAGGCCAATCCAAACGTACCTAGTTGGTCATACCTCTCGACATACAACTTTGGATTCCCTATTCTCGGCACGTTCCACGGATCCGATCTCTTGCAGGTATTCTATGGGGTGTTACCAAACAATGCTGCCAAGTCAATAAGGGGGTACTACTACAACTTTGTGTATGATTTGAACCCGAATGTAGGCAATGACTATGGAAATTGGCCGCAATGGAGTGAGGGTCAACAGTTGAGGGAGTTCAAGGCCAGCAGCAACGACTATTTGAATGATGACTTTAGGAGCGACACCTATGCGATTTTGAAACAGAATATTGGTTCATTGAAGGTTTGAGAGGACACAAGGGATCATGGGAGGAGTTTATGGGATAGGATATTATCATGCATGATTGAAATTTACTTACTCTCGAACGACGTGGATGCTCATGTCCCAGATGAATTGCATATGTTTTGAGAAGAAAGAGGCGCAAATGTAGTACCAATGGCTACTGAACGCATCTCTCATGAAGTCTTATTAGTCTTGTCATCTTCAACCGCCATCATCATGCACATGCACATGCACATGCACATTACATAGTGCCTACAACGAACGCTAAGCTAAACCAATACTAGCGCCAGATGCAGGACCAGTGACGCAATATCCCACCAAACTGTAGCTAATGCACAACATTTCTACCTACCTACACCATTGACTTCGTCCCGCCGCCTGTTTCTCAAGCTAAATTAGGGTGACTGCGCGATCAACGTAGCTACTGCGAGACTTGGCAAGAGAAGCCTTTGCTGTGAATGGTAAGGAGTTGCGCCCAGCATCAGCAAGAGAAGCCTGACCCCGCCATTTCCACGGCCGACTTCGCAGTTGATCAGTAACGCGTTCGACGCGTAAGCTGCTGAATGACTCGGATGACAGCTGGGTCTTGATAACACGACACAATGCCTCACTCCACGGATATCCCTTCCTTTGCGGCCTCCCAACTCACCCTCCTTGACGCCGAACTCCAAGCTGAGCTCTCGGAAACAAATGCGCTCCTCTCATCCCATACTCCCACCGCCCTGTCCCGTGCCGGCCTCGCCATCTTGAACCTGAATGTCTCGTCTGTACGCACGGGCTTGGGTGGTAAGACTGTAGTTGAGCTGGCTCTAGATCCTGCAGTCGTGGCCAAGGGCGAGAAGCCCGACATACCTGAACATGGCATACGCGTGGGCGACATCGTGGCGGTGCAGGATCAGCCGAGTGGAAGTGCGAAGAAGACGGAGAAGAAAGAGCTTACCAAAAAGGGTGCTGAGGGTGTGGTGTTGAGGGTGAGAAGGGAGAATGTGGAGGTTGTACTGGACAAGGAGGATGCGGATGTGCCCAGTGGAGGGAAGCTGTGGATGTTAGTGGTCTTCATTACTGGGTATAAAACGCTATGTGGACTGATAATTCGGATAGAGTCAAGTTGGCGAACGACGTTACGTATAAGCGGTACGTCTTTGCCCGAAATGCAAACAGTCTCCTGTACCTTGTGCTTATAAAAGTGATAGGATGAACCAGACTATGAGCAGACTGCAAAAATTTGGGGATCAGGACTATACACCTTTCATGCGTGTTCTGTTCGGACAGGCTTCACCTACACCTCTGCCCTCGGATCTCAATGACCCTTCACACCCACTTCACAAACTCGAGTGGAAGGACCAATCTTTGAACGACAGTCAGAAAGAGGCGATTAGGTTTGCCCTATCCTCTCGAGAAATTGCTCTCATCCACGGTCCACCCGGAACCGGGAAGACCCATACCTTGATCGAGCTCATCTTGCAACTTCTCAAGCAGAACCTTCGCCTCCTGGTCTGCGGCCCATCGAACATCTCGGTTGATAACATTGTGGAGCGCCTGGCCTCCCACAAAGTACCCATGGTCCGTCTAGGCCACCCAGCACGCCTTTTGCCCTCGGTCCTGAACCACTCTCTTGATGTGTTGACACGGACTTCCGAGGCCGCTGCCCTCGTTCAAGACGTCCGCACAGAGATGGACGGCAAACAAGCCTCCATTCGTAAGACGCGGAACGCCCGAGAACGACGTCAAATATACACTGAGCTCAAAGAGCTACGGCAGGAATATCGCGAGCGAGAGAAGGGATGCGTCAACAACCTTGTTGGTGGCAGCAAAGTCGTACTGGCCACGTTGCATGGCGCTGGTGGTTTCCATTTAAAAGGGCAGGAATTTGATGTCGTCATTGTTGACGAGGCAAGTCAGGCTTTGGAGGCACAGTGTTGGATTCCGCTGCTGTGGGTCAAGGCGGGAAAGCTTGTGTTGGCCGGAGATCACCTGCAATTACCTCCTACGATCAAGTCTTTGCACTTCAGGGATAAGAAGAAGACCATGAACAATGCACAGGATGCAAAGAAGGGCAAGGATGAGGACGCGAAGAAGACAGATGGAACATTGAGGATCCAAGGCATGACACTCGAGACTACACTGTTTGATCGATTGCTCGCCTTGCATGGGCCAGGCATCAAGCGCATGCTGACGACGCAGTACCGTATGCATGAGACCATCATGCGCTTTCCTGCTGATGAGCTCTACGAGTCAAAGCTAGTCGCCGCAGATTTTGTCAAAGAGCGCCTACTCAAGGATCTTCCCTACGAAGTTCAAGACACCGAGGACACGCGAGAGCCGCTCGTCTTCTGGGACACACAAGGCGGGGATTTCGCAGAGAAAGCGGAAGATGAAGGTGTCACTGGGAAAGGTGGGAAGGGCATGAGGCTGGGGGACAGCAAGTCGAACGAGGGGGAGGCGGCTTTGGTCAAGATGCACGTGGGTAATCTGGTCCAGGCAGGCGTCAAGGCTGAGGACATTGCGGTTGTGACGCCTTACAATGGCCAGGTAGGTTGAAATTTATTTTCGTCATCTGCTGCCCAATTGGGATACGTCATGAATCTTCCCGTCCGCATTGAGATTCATCTAGATGGGGGCCTGCCCATCTGGGAAACATGGTCGGGATGAAGGCAGGATAGCCCAGATAAAGTGGGACATGGTTGCTGATGACATGTAGCTGGCGCTTCTAGCGGGACTGCTAAAAGAAGCATACCCTGGCATCGAACTCGGCTCGGTGGACGGGTTTCAAGGTAGGGAGAAAGAGGCCGTGATTGTCAGCACGGTCCGAAGCAATGCAGAGCATGAAGTTGGATTTCTAGGCGAGAAGAGACGGCTCAATGGTATGTCAGAACGCTGACCGAGCGACCGAACTTGATCGGCCAGAGGCTAATCTTTGAGGGCGTCGCAGTCGCGATGACACGGCCGAAGCGACACCTTTGTGTGATCGGAGACTCTGATACCATCAGCAGGTACGTACCACACAGACGTTTTGTTTTCTTCTTGTCTTTTTGCCTGTCAGCGTTGATTTCCTGGGGGGCATGTCGCACAGAGGACAGCCGTGGCTCGTGATCGGCGCACCCGAGAACGTGGACCCTGGATTCGGCCTTGCGCAGCCGGCCGGAGCGTGATGCGAAACACGCTGTAACACGCCGGCCTGTCACGCTCCCATCCATCCAGGCGGACGCGCCGTTGCACCGCCGCACCAGCCTGCTCGCTGTACCTACACAGTACTCTAGACTCGCAGACTCGGTCAACTGACGTGTGGAATCAGGGGCAGCCAGTTCCTGAAGGCGTGGATGGACTTTCTCGAGGAGCAGGCTGATTTGAGGTACCCAAATCTGGCAGATGTGTACGTGGACCAAGGGCATGGCTGATGAGGGGGGGTGGAAGGCCTGAGGCTGTAACATGCTACCTAGTAAGCTGCATGGTCGACGGTAGGGGGGGGGGTCTGGAAATTCTGTGTTCACTTGAGTCGAAGATTGGCCTAGGTAGGTAGCATGCTAGGTAGCTAACTGTACCTATGTACCGCCATCTTCGGTAGAACGCTATCGATTGGGAGGGGTTGCAGGTACATGATAGTAGGTGAGCGGCTGAGAGAGAGAGAGAGAGAGAGAGAGAGAGAGAGAGATGCTGCAGCTGTTATGCAGCCTGCCTTGGCGATGGTGCAGTAGGTAGCTACCTACCTACATGCTGTGTAGTCATTGGTAGCATGGTAATTTCGCGTGAGCAAAGGATCGCAGGAAGCGTTGTTGTCGATGGCGGGGACATTGTCTTGCAACACGGTAGCACGCATGAGGATGGTTCATCTCTGAGCATCGACGGCGGATGCGCCATGATTGATGAAAGGTGGGTGGACGATGATGGTGAGGATGGTGATGGCGTTGGCGCTGGTTGTCATGGTAGTTCGTCTCCGTGTTCGTAAACGCAGCGAACGCCGATGGTGCGAGTCGTGAGCCAATGGTCATGGCGTGACTTGCGGCCAAAGGACTGCTGCTTCCTCATAGCCAGTATACGACTATCGATAGCTTTTCACCGCGTCTGTGCCCGCCACGTCGCAGTGCAGTTCCTCCCCCCCCCCCCCCACTCCTCTGTCAACGAATTCCAGTGCGAACCAAACGGTGGTGCCCCATATCTGCAAAACTCTACCATGGCGCTGCTGGCCGGGCGGGGAGACGGTGCAGTAGTCGAGCAGCTCAACAGCGCGTCTACTATGTACGTACTACCCGGTATCGTACTGCCACCTATCCCACTACTCTGTACAGTACTGTTCCATGAGTAGTTGCAGACTCTCACCATGCTCCTCGGCCTAGGTACACCGTCCAGCCTACCGGTACTATCATACTGT